CATACCCCCCAAGAAATGAATCCACAGAAAGCCCTAAAACCCAATGATCAGACGAAAAGCAGAAAACTAAATTGCAAACCCATCAACAAGCAAAAAGAAAACAATGGAAGTTGAATAAGAAGATGAAAGTGGGGGAAAAAAACCTTCAAAATTTGGTTCAGAGACTCGCGGAGGTTGAAAAAGGGAAGTCTTAGCTCCCTCCCTCAGAAACTGTGTATCGGTGACACAATCCGATTGTTTGTAGGCTTATGAAGGAAGGGGATCTTTTGCGTTTGTCTGTATTGGACTCGGTCCTCTCTTTCTTTCTTTCTTTTCAAGTTCAAGAGCTTCGGTAACCCCGAGCCTTGCTTCGGTAACGTTCGTCCAAAGTTAACGCCTCGTTGACGTTGAATCAGTTCGGTGAAAGGGAGTGTCTCAGTGCATTGTGACGGACGGCAAAGAATCAACGTTTTTGGTACACATTTTCCAGATACCCCCTGGGCCCGCCTCCCCAAGCCCAACTTCTAAATTTGTATTTTTAAAATTTTAAAATATTTAAATTCCGTATTCCCACCCAACTTTAAGAAAAATAAATGAAATTATTTGGTGTGAGGTTATTGGCCAATAAGAAAAGGCCACGTCCCAAAGAGTCTCCATTCATCTGAGTTCACGGGAGAAGTTTATGTAATTGGGGAAATGGATTAGGTTTGGTATATTAAAAAATTGGGCAGCGCCCATTTGATTAATATATTGACTTTGACATTACATTAGTGCAGCAGGTCTCGTGCCCACCGGGCAACCATTTCAGCTGTTTATACTCCAATTATGATGCCCTAATTTTAATACTTTTTTTTTCTTTTTTTTTTTTTGGCCTTTTCTGGGGGCAAACGATGAATGGACCGTTCTGAGTTTCCCCCCGCTTCTTCCATTTTCACCAACAAAAATCTCAATTTACGAGGAAGATGAAGACGAAGACGCAGCTTCCGATGCCACCAACTTAACAATGTCCCAAACAAAATTAATTCCAGGAGTCAGCGAAGGAGTCGGTAAATGTTTGATCAATTTTCTACTTCCTATATGAACTTTACTTCATGAATTTCAGCTGTGGAACACAATTTTTTATACTACTAGGAAGAAAGAGATGCATGCTGTGATCAATGGAGTTAAAGTGGTTTTTGGAAGTCTTAATGAACTTTAGTAACTGGGGTTTCATTTCATGGTTTGATTGTTAGAAATTTGGCACTGATGGTTTAGTTTGTTTGTGGGGTTCATTAGTTGTTCGGTTCAGGTGGGATCTTGCGTTTGCTGAATACAACAGATTTCCTCATCTTTTTGTGTTTCAGTAGCATCTCGCTTTTTTACTTTTGCATTCACATTTCCTCTCCAATTATTGTCTACCTACTTCCATCAATTTCTTATTTCACTTCTCGAATGATGGAAGCCAATCATTAATTAATACCTGCCCTTCGGATTTCTCAAGGACGAGCTTCGTCTAAGAAGCTTATTTTTTTCCTTGCGAGATCTCACCTTAGTTGTAAAGAGGAATGAAGCATTCCTTATAAGAATGTGAAAATCTCTCCCGGACGTTTTTAAAAAATCTTGAGATGAAGTCCAAAAAGAAAAGTCCAAAGAGGACAATATTTGTTAGTGGTGGGCTTGGACGGCTACCAATGGTATTAAAGCCAAACACGGGGCGGTGCGCCAGCGAGTACGTTGGGCCCCAAGGGGGTGGATTGTGAGAAAGGGTGTAGAATCCTCTCTCTAGGAAACACGCTTTAAAAACTTTCCGGAAAAGCCTGAAAAGAAAAGCCACATTCATTATAAGGACGTGGAAACTTCTCCCTAGCAGACACATTTTGAAAATTTTGAGAGAAAGTTTAAGAGAGAAAATTCAAAGAGGACAAAGGGTAAATCCAAAGAAGACAATATCTTCTAATAGTGGACTTAGACTTGATGACATTTTTGTTGAAGGTCTTTATTCCTTCTCCGATCAGTCGAAGTGATTTGAAGTGATTTTCTATAGTCTCTTGAAAAGTGAGAAAGTTGGAGCAAAGATCGTTTTGGATTTTTTTTTAAGATAAGCAAGTCTAATGAATCAGCCAACATAATAGTTATAGCCATTGAAAGAGATGCTTGTCGTGAGTCCATATCGATCACTGCAAACCAGTTCATTAGAGGTATGTTATAGTTCTCTCCACCAGGTTTAAATGGTGATTTGAGTTACCATTCATGCAGATATTGCAAAACTCTAGTTTGGTTCTTGGAGGAATCTTGATATTATAAGATCTTATTACTTGATATTACAAGATCTCGATTTGTGTGCAGTTCAATGGCAGAGTTGATCGATAGAGTTGAACTGCAATAATCTATTTCCAAAGGCGATTGTGAGTTGCATATAATTCCTGCTATATGATCGACTCTCTTGAGTTTATTTGGTCAATAATCGGTAAGTTATCAAATAAGAAAGCTAACTGAAAGAAGTTTTCTAATAACTGTTCATCAAGAGCCATTATACTTGAGCCTATTGAAGCTGTCAAAGGGAGCCTGATCAGTTGTCAATGCATTTATCACAAGCAGAATTTGAAATTCAGCTTGCACCGTTTGCTGGAAATGCAATGGTTTCTGGTGGATATGCCGTTCTACCAAACACAAACCCATCAAATCTTCTTTACCGTGAAGAACAGTCAAAGCCATCAGTTTTCTTAACATGAAAGATTTGGCCCTCGAGGGAAACTACCACTTAGTGGTGTTCTCATCTACGGTATAAGTTCATAGTACCTTTTGCTGCTGAATTTATCATTGATCGGTCACCAAACCGCTTCAAGCACTAGAAGATTACATCTTTTTAGGCACCGACTTATGTCTGTAGTGTTGTTATACAGATGAACAATCTGATTTCAGTGAAATATCAGAGCTGCAGGGTTGTATTCACAGCATGAAATGCTGCCACATGCAACTTAAAATCAATTAAACAATGACTGTAATTGCCAATAACTTAATATTAAGGTACTCCACTTTAGTGCTGCTTTGGTATTGAAACTTTCAGCAATTAAATTGATTGTGGTGGATATTGGGTATGTTGCACTCAACCAGTGCATCACCTTCTCCACTCACTACAAAGCCTCAAAGTTACACAAGGAAAATGTTTTGAGATGTTTCAGGCAGAGAGAGACCCATAAACTAAACAATCCATATTGCCTAATAAACAACTAAGGCTCTAAACCCAACTTGTAGATCTTTGTAAGCTTTCATATCATATAATAAAACCCAACTAATAATCAACAATCAGCACACCCTCTAAACTGTGGCCCTGGTGTGTGACGATTGTTGGCTCCGGATCCTGGATAGTCATTTAGTTCCACAGTCATTCTTCCATGCCTCACTTTTTCTTGGTTTGCAATCACCTGAACGAACAGAGACCTTCCATGTTTAAATCCCAAGAGCATAAACAGATAAGTTAGGAAGAAGTCAATCGGTAGTAATGAGAGAAGAAAGGATCCAACACAGAATAGGTGAGAAAAAGTAAAAGGTTGATGGGTAATGTAATATACCATGTGGGTGTTGCTTGAAACTTGAGGATATTGATTGGATGCATGCATGAGGCTGATACTTCCTACAGAATGAGATCAGAAGCATTTTCTAGTTCATTTTGTAAGAAGAAGAAAGAAAAAGAAGAGGAAGGAGAGTGGTTTGAGAGGGTTACTCGAAGATGGGACAGCATTGGAAGAGAGAAGGTTGTAGTGAAGTCCCAAGAATATGACAAGTAAACGAAGGAAATGAGTGGGTGCTGCCATTGCTGCTCTGCTCAGAGTGCTGCTCTGCTTCAAAGAAAATGTGTGTGTAATGGGGGGTGCTTTAGGAAGAGAGCAATTTGTAGTTGTATATTTGAAATTGATTGCAAATGAGCTGTGTTTATTCAAGTCCAATACAAAGTGATAAGCCTAGGGATTCTCAAATCTCTACGAAAAATGAAAGATGAAAACTTGGGAAGTGGGAGGGAAAGGGAAATTATGATATTTTAAAACTCAATATGCTGGGAAAAGTTGGAAGACACCGTGGGAAAGTGACTCATGGTGTGCACCATTTTACCAGTTGGGTAGTGGGATCTCGGGAGTGGTTTCCTCTCCACCAAGTGGGATCTCATGGGTCTAGCGTCTTTACTAGCATACCGTTTGGTATCTGACTTTGATACGGCTTGTAGCGGTCTAAGTCCACTGCTAACAAATATTATCTGTCTTAATCCGTTACATATCACCGTCAGCTTTCACGATTTTAAGACGTGTCTATTAGAAAAAAGTTCTCGTTTCACCCTCTAATTAAAAGTGGGATTTCACCTATTGAGTTTATATAGGAATTTAAAAGTTCTTTTTTTTTTCTTCACCTTTTATTTAAAGGATGAGAAAAGAAAATTTAAAATATATAAATTAAGACAAATATGTATTTTATTGGGTGTAAACTTATTTTTAGAGGAAAAAGGGAAGGAGAGAATGATTTATTGAGAATTTAAAAGATTTTGGGAATATAATAACATACCTAAGGGACAAGTGTCAAAATGTTGATGGAGCATGTGCCAGCGCAGCAGCCAACTGTTTTCTTTAATAAATTTCCTAATTCTTCAAATAATAATAAATTTTATTTTTATTTATTTTGAAGTAAGATGTTGGCCATAGAGAATATGAACATATATATATAAATTACAATTGAACAAAATAATGTTTTTTTTTTCTTCCTTTGGAAGGTGCGACATATTTAGGAAGCACCAAAAATGAAAGAGAAAAAAAAAAGTAAAAGCAGACATGAAACATGAAAAACAACCAAATAAAATGATCCACGTGGAAGGCGGCAGCCAAACTTGTGAAAGTGAGCAGTAGGGGCATCGCATCGGGTGCACCAACTTTTGGTACAACCCAGAATCAGAAATGGAAGAAAATCTTTGTGTCCACATAAACTTGTGGCTCACAATCAAATTCACTCGCTGACGTGGCACCCCTACCCCTTCTTTTAACGGATTCATCGTCCAACTTCCTTCCCCTGAACACTCCCAAAAATCCCCTTCCTTCCTTCAACTTCTTCTTCTTTTTCTTCTTCTTCTTCTTCTTCTTCTTCTAGCACACAAAATTATGTTGGATTGTAAGGATCCTGCTATTAAGCTTTTTGGCCGGAATATCCCTCTTTCCGACGACGTTGAAGCTCCGGCGGTTCATTCCCATGACTTCAGTTCTGAGAAACATGCAGAACCCAGGAAGGTACAGAGTGCCTTACACATATCACACTCTCTTGTTCCTTCATCCAACTGCTACCCATTTCACCAATTGGTCAAACAAAATCTGGGTCGTTTTTACTTTTTCACTTCCGTTTCTGCTACCTGGGTGCTTCTGAAGAAAGCCCACTTTTTTTCTTCTCTGTTTTTACTTTTGGTTGATTATGAACCCCTCGAGTCTTTTTCTTTTTCATCTGCAATTTAATTTTTTTTTTTCTTTTCCTCATCTTTTCAATTAGTTTTCCAATCATGACAGAAAAAAGTTACTAATTTACTCGAAAAAGGAAATAAAAGGGTTTTTTTTTTTTTCTCATTGTCAAACTTCAGCTCTACCTCAATTGGGATTTTAACAACGGACTAAACAGAAACTAGATTGACTTAATTTGACAAGTCATAGTTCATAAAACTTTGTTCCTTTTCTGGATTTCAGGACGCAAGCGTAGATGATCTTGAGAAACCTGTTGATGGCTCAGATGATTCAAGAAATCTGGAGTGCGGGCAAGAGGGAAGCGTGAATCCCAAAACGCCGTCTATAGATGAAGAAACTGCGAGACCCATTAATGGAGAACCAGAGAGTGAAAGGCTTAATTCAGAGAGAACCCCAAAGAAACCTGATAAATTGCTTCCATGTCCTCGCTGCAAAAGCATGGACACAAAGTTTTGTTACTACAACAATTACAATGTCAATCAACCTCGCCATTTTTGTAAGGCTTGTCAAAGATACTGGACCGCTGGAGGCATCATGAGGAACGTGCCGGTTGGAGCCGGTCGCCGGAAGAGTAAAAACTCTGCTTCTTATTACCGTCACATCACAATCTCTGAGGCTCTTGAAGCTGCTGAAATTGAGGCTTCAAATGGAACCCACAAACCAAAATTCATTGGTAACTGTGGCAGAGTCCTCAGTTTCAATTTGGATGCACCCAGTTCTATCCCTAAAGGGTGTGATAAAAGCTCGAGTTTGTCCTCTATGGCAGTTCAAACACCATCAGAATTGAAAACCAACGGCTTCCCTTCTCAAATTTCTTGTCTTTCTGGAGTTCCGTGGCCTTTGGTTTGGAATTCAACAGTTTCTCCACCCTTCGGCCCTCCAGGATTTCCCTTTTCTTTTCTTCCAGCAACTACTTGGAGCTGTGGGGTTCCAGGACCATGGAACACCCCGTGGTTTTCACCACAAGATTCCACAGAACAAAAATCTAAAGCTTCTCCAACACTGGGAAAGCATCAAAGAGACAATGAAATGGCGAAAGAAGATGCCATTTCAAGTAAAGAAGAGGGGGTTAAGCAGAGAAATGGATGTGTATTAACCCCAAAGACTTTAAGGATTGATGACCCAAGTGAGGCTGCAAAAAGTTCCATATGGGCAACGCTTGGGATAAAGAATGAATCAATGAGTGGGGGAAGAAATCTGTTCAAACCCTTTCAACCCAAGGGCCACGAGAAGGTTCCTGTTTCTAAAAACGCCTCAGTGTTGCAGGCAAACCCTGCAGCCTTTTCGAGATCTCTCGTCTTTCATGAGAGCTCTTGAAGGCAGATTATATGATTATTCCCCGTTTAAGCGTTTACAGGTATTTGCCTAATTTACATAGCCATGCAGATTGCTGAGCTTCCTTCTTAAGCCTTGTAATGTACAGAGATATATGAAATACTGACATAGATCGTAGAAACTTGGGTTGTTTGTGGTGCCGTCTTATCTGTTTTTGTTGCATTTTTTATGAGTGAGTCGATGTATAAACCTGAGACAGCCACATGGGCACTGCAGAGAGTATCTTCCAAAAAGTTGAGAAATGGAGAAAAGAGTGGAAAGGCAATTATAAGCAACAAAAGGTGATCCTACTGTGTGGCTTTATGCAGCGCCAAAGCACCAAAACTCCTTATCACAACAGCTGTAACAGGATAAGATTGAGAAAGCAGATAGTCCATCTCTTTTCTTTTCTTTTCACTTCATTTCATTTCCTGCTGTTTTTAAGTCGCAACTAATAATAGGGCAAAGGCCAAAGGGAGATATTTAGAAGGTAGAAGAAGAAGCAAATGATGTAAAAACATGAGGTAGCAGTTCAAATGCCCCTTTTGCTTTCCCTGATCGGTAAGGAAAGCCATAAATGAAAACCGGTTTTTTCCTTTGCGACCCAGATTCACAAATTGTCTTCTTTGGACGGGACATCACAATTCACCCCCTTTAGGGTCAGCATCCTTGTTGGCACATTGCGTCGTGTCTACCCCCTTCGGGGAACAGCCTTCTCCCTGGCACATGGTCCCGTGTCTGGCTCTGATACCATTTATAATGACCCAGATCCACCGCTAGCAAATATTGTCCTTCTTGAACTTTCCCTAAAAACTTTAAAACGTGTTTGCTAAGTAAAGGTTTCTACACCCTTATAAAAGGTGTTTTGTTCTCTTCTCCCAATCAATATGGGACATCACAGAAACTAACATGGATCATCTTCGTCAAAAAATGCCTACAAGTAACACCAATGCCTACAAGTAACACCAAGGCTATGTAGTACAAAACTGACAGAACCCTTGCAAATCAAATCTAGCTGCTCAAAGTGCCAAGCTTTTAACAACATCAAAGACAATTTTGAACACTTCAATCAATTCTTTGTGCACTATGGATGGACTCATAATTCCACCAACTCATTTTGTGTCTTTTTAAATGCACCATGTACCATTTAAACAATGTTGTAGAATTAAGGGAAAAGCTATAATGGGGGGAGAAAAAGGTGGCACAGGTAGCTCTTGGGGGTTGGGGTCAAACTCCCCACTTCAACAAATTATCTTTTATTTTAGTGGAGAGCTTAATTACATTGTTGTTAGCAGATATGTTAGAGAGAATTTTTCATACAATTATAAGAAATGTTTCGTTCCTCTCTACAATTTCACATTAATGCGATTGAAATCATATTAAAACATAAGATATTTTGTTTCATTTTCATGAATTCTATACACATACATATGCATAGGTCCCACATACAAGACATACATACTTTCATTCTCATCACACAATAGTCATAACTTAAATTCGTGAAAAACACCTTATACAATAAGATACTTAAACCTAGTTTTGAGGCGTTCCAATTGGCTACGGAACAAAGAGCGAAAGACTATTATCTCCTGTTATGGAACCTAAAACAAATATAAATAATGCTTCCGAACCCTAAAAAAAAAAAAAAAAAAAAAAAAAAAAAAAAGGGGGTTTGAGATTGGTGAGTGGGACACGTGTGTGGTGGCAATTACGAAAAAGTATCCAATAATATATATGGTATGGTGCGTTTTTGTTGGCTTTAATTAAATCTTTTCATACTTTATGTTATATTATATGAATGTGCTTCATAAAACAAGGCTGTTTCCAAAAAGCATCTCCTTTTCAACAAATGCGTATGTTTTTTCCTTGATGAAACTTCTCTTTCCAACATTCAAAACCTTTGTATACTTTTAATTTTTTTTTTGTTTGAATTGGATTCTAGAAAGTATATTTATAATCTCCCCAATGTAAGATTTATTTGAATATTTCAAATGACGTATAAATCAATTAAATGAAAATATAATTTAGGTATTAAAAAAATAAACTACAATAAAAATATATATATAACAGTTGAAAAAGAAAAAGAAAGTTGGTAGATAATTTGTGAAATGGAAGATGGAATTTAGATCTAATAATAGTTTGAACCATGCTAATACATAAAATATCATTTTGTTTTATTTTATTTGGTTATAAGTTTTGTTATTAAACTTGGCTTTATTTAATTTATAAAATTTTAAAATGTCTAAACTCTATACACTTTCTTTTTGGTATGTCGAGATTAATATATATTCTTCGATTAAGGAAACTTGAAACTTTGAATTTTTTATTTATTAGATTCCTAATATTTTAAAAAGCTAAAGATCCAAATTTTAAATTAAAATACAATTTTTTAATGAAAGTTTGCCGGCGTTTCCCGGGGGTTGCTACAATTTACGAGCTGAAAGTCAAGGACAGGACACGGTAAAGGGAACTTTATTTTTATAATCAATTTTACAAAGATAATGAAATTATTATTCAAATGTAATATTTCAAAATTAAATTAAAGTTTTGAGGATGAAAACTCATAAAACGCGCCCAAGAAAAACACATAATCTGGCGTGATTCACATCCTTTCCATATTATTTATAGGGAATTTCGTGCTGAAATTATGATTTGTAGGACGGGTCACTGAAAAACAAAAGCATATTTATTAATTTAATTCAAAAAAGGATGAAGCTTACAATTGTATAAGCACCACCAAATCTTTAAAATTTCAAATTACTTTTCATGATTGAACAAACATGAAAGCATGCCCTTTTTCTAACCATGGTTTGAATTCTGGGATTGAGATTATAATCTAAAATTAAGAAAGTTTATGAATAAAATTGACCTTGAAAGACTTGACTTGTTCCACTCATCAGAAAAAGGCATACCGAATTTTTACCTAAAACTTGAATGCAGGGTTCATTAAAACACTTGGAAATAGACGCGGCGGATATGGGTCGTCCAGAAGATGATACCGAAATTTCTCAGAACTTCATAAGAGTTAATTACTTCCCAAAAAGGTTGATAAAGAAACACAAAATGAAGTCATTGCGTCCACTCTTCCATCCCCGGATCTTAATGTTCTAATTTCCTGGAAATTTTCACCGTTTATTCTGAAACACGCAAGCCAACTACTTGAGAAGTTTAATCAGGGTAAGCATTGACCCCGCTATACAAATATGTTCAAGTCTTCGTTTGTTGTCCCCAATATAAATTGTCTTCTGCTCACTGCTTACTTTGGTATCTATGCTACTTGTTCACCCTTTCACTCTTTCGCAAATGGCACCCATTGATGAGCTTGATTATGCTAACCCCATTTCAGTTTTTCAGATTTTGTTTCTGTTTTTTCTCAATTTCCTACTTGAATACTTGTTTCCAGGTCCCTTGTACGTTTTCATACTCTGTGCCGCCTTCCATTTTTATCTGTGGAATTCATGGGTTGCCCACCGCAACATCATCAAACGCTTTGAGGCTGCTGATGATGCGACATGCACACCAAGTGCTCGACGGAATGCTCATATGGGGCATTGCTACACAGGAATTGTGGGCATGCCTGTTAATGACGCACATGAAGTGAAGCTAACCATTGAAGATGTGAAAACTATGATGGATGCACTTCATAACAACATGGAAACTAATAACCTTGAGTTGAAGGCTGAGATTGAGGGGGTATTTGAGGAAGAATTGAGTGTAGGGGAAGTTGAGGAAGCTTTTGATTTGTTTGATGAGAATGGTGATGGGTTTATTGATGCAGAGGACTTGAAGAAAGTGCTGGATGCCATGGGATTTACAGTGGCTTCAGAAGTTGATGAATGCAGGAGAATGATAAGTGGATATGACAAGAATGGAGATGGGCGTTTAGATTTTGAAGAATTTGCTAAGCTTGTTGAACAGAGTTTTTGTTGATAACGGGTGTGTGTGTAAATTTGACTTCGAAAATAAGTGTCTTACATTAGGATTTAACTAAGAGGCAGGATTGTATGAACGATCATTTGTTACAAGAGCATCCTCAAACCTCCACGTGATGTGCTTGAATCTTTAAGTTCTTTTTTTCTTTGTTTCTGTGTTTGCAAAGCGTAAGTTGTTCACAATGTTTGGGTGTTTAAAATATTTCTAGAGCAAATATCAAGGTTATTTGGGCAAGAGTTGCTCACTAGTTAACTCTAATTTTGAACACTTAATTTGGAAGCTGTGAGGTCTTAATAGATTAGATTTTGTTAGTTTTTCAAAATTTCAAGGTGATTTTAGGTTTGGGAGCATTTGGGAAGGTTGCAACATGTTATTAAATTGACATTTTGTAGGCACATCTCATGCATTGATATGTATGAAAACAGTGGCGTATATAGAACCATATGTAGTGGTTAAATGAAAATTAATTGATTAAAATTTTTAATTAACTTATAATGGGTAGATTTATAGAATTAGAGTAAACTTAATGTTTAATTTTGAAATCTTTAAATTTATATTTGATAAACGAAGATTAAAAAAATATATTTATCTTATTTAATATATTGAACATCAAATGAAGGGAGAAAGTAGTTAATTAAACATAGATTTTTCTTTTTGTTTGTTTATTTGTTGAGATTGGAGTTTGAATTTGTGCGATAAAACGTAGTTAAGCGATGTGGGAATGCAAAAAAGAGAGGGATTAAGGATCGAAAAGGAGAAAAGAAGGGGCGGAGGGAACCGGTTGGAGTTTTCAATTTTGATAACGACATCGCCATCGCCCAACAATTTCTTGCTGATTGGTTGCGCTAATTTTCACAGCCGAATTCTTAGGCTGACCTTTCGTGCGATCTAAGCAGAGCATTGCATGCACTTCCCCTCTGCCTTCCCCCATTACCTTCCCTCTCCGCCATTTTCCCTCTCCGCCATCCTCTTTCCGCCATCCTCTTTCCGCCATCCCCTTCCCTTTCTTCTTCATCATATTCTTGTTCTTGTTCTTGTTCTTGTTCTTCTTCATTCACTTCCCCCTTCTCGGTGTGATTCATTTCTTTCCCTTCTTGTATTAATCCCCCCTTCCTTTCGTTTCTTTTCCTCTTTCCTCACTTGGGTTTTTCTCTTTTTTCCGCTTTCCCTTCGTTGATCTTTCTCCCATTACTTTCTTTCCCATTTTCCTCACTTGGGTTCCCTCAATCTTCTGTTTTTTTAGCATTTCCCTTCTTAAATTTCCCTTCCATTTCTTTCTTCCCCATTTTCCTCACTTGGGTTCCCCCTACATTTTCCTTCTTTCCGCCATCCGTTTTCATTACTCTGACTTCTTTTCCGATCGTCATTCTTTGCATCGCCTCCTTTTGGGAAACAGGGGAACCCCGTTAAGGGATCGCAACCGAACTTGAATGACCTCTTGATCCCTCGGATTTTGAGCTCTTGTTTCGCAACTATATCCTTAATAGTCGGTTCTTCTTGTTCCTCTTCTTCCAGCTAGAGAAGGGCATTGATATGATTTCGCAAGCTGGCCGAGTTTGAATACGGGGAATAAAGAGACAGTTTTGTTGATTTCATTGCGATTTTCTTATTTTTCCTTATAATGGGAAGGGTTAAGCTGAAAATAAAAAAATTGGAGAGCACTGGTAGCAGGCAAGTGACCTTCTCTAAGAGAAAAAATGGGATTATGAAGAAAGCTAAGGAGCTGGCTATACTCTGCGATATTGATATCGTTCTCCTCATGTTTTCGCCAACTGGAAAGCCGACGCTATATCAAGGTGAACGCAGGTACTATATTCCTCAAGTGACTTCCTATTGTTTGTATGCACCATTATAGGTCGCTTAAAGAGAACCAATTGGAACGGATATTGTTGATGATTCTAGTTTTAGCGACCGATATTGCATTGAAGCATTGAAATGTTTCGATGCCCCCAAATCTTGTTTACGCCAAGTCTAGATTAGACGGGAATTTGGAAAATATGAACCATCGATTCATCCGTGTCATCCTATTGCAATTTTGTTCCAGAGACATTCAGTTTGTATTGTTCATAATCTGTGTTTTGTAGTCTATCTTTGTATCTGGGAGACGGAAGAAGTTTGCATTCATTCACCACAAGAGAGTCTATATCTGAGTTTTCATGTGGTTTATTGTGAAGAGAATTAGAAACCACATAACCAATTAGAGATTGAAAGGATAGCCGGTTAATTTTCTGTCTTATACTCGATGTGGATCTTTAATTTACAGCAGCATCGAGGAGGTCATTACAAAATTTGCTGAATTGACTCCACAGGAGAGGGCAAAAAGGTATGAGAACCAATCCTTAATCATTATGACTCAATTCCTTCGCAAACATTTTCTAGAAGCATAGATGGCTAATTCATTCCATTCTGTTTGGAACAGGAAACTGGAAAGCCTTGAAGTAAGTCTCTGCATGTCTCCTTTTCTATTTTCAATCCATCCTTAGAGATTTTATCCCTTTCTTTTTCTGCCTGCTTTTGTTGTACAGCATGCTTTTGAATTCTCATCTCTTCTGTACAAGTTTACTTATTTGTTTGTATGTTCTATTCGAGCACATAGGCGCTGAAGAAAACATTCAAGAAGTTAGACCACGATGTAAACATAAAAGATTTTGTGGGTTCAAGGTATTTGTCCATATCCGTCAAATGTATATTGTATTCTGTCCGAATTTCAAGATGATTACAATGGATCTGACTTTTCTTTACCCTTTTTCTCCTTTCCTGTGATATCTTGCAGCTCTCAAGATTTTGAGGTATCAAGCCTTCTTTATCATTGTTTTTTCATTAAACGAGAGTAGTTTTGTGCTTTTTACTCATTTTATATATTTTATCAGCAGGAATTGATCAATGAAGTTACCGTATTGCGAGATCAGATTGGTGAAGCACATAAGAGACTGAGGTGCACCTTTGGAGCTTTTATTTTTAAAGTATATAGCCTTTTCTTTTTTTTTTCTTTTTTTTTTTATTTGGCCCTTTTACATTTCAACCAAGCTTTCATTGAGGGGGGAAAAAGAAAAGAGGAAAGAATGCACGGGATAAAGGAACAAAACCCAACTACCAAACGGAGTCAAACTAAAGAAAAGGACTCCAATCATACAATATAGGATGTAACGGGATTTAATCCTTTTGTACCAAGCTTCTACAAGTCCTACAAGTGAAGTCAACCTTTTCTTTTATTATTATAGCCTATGATAAAATGTTACATGTAGACGCTTTTCTTTATCCACAAAAATCTTGGTTAATGTATATTACAAGCAGAGAGACAGCTAGAGGGGTAAAGGTGGAGTGTAAATAGGATATGACAGATGACGGTAGAATTGGGTGGAAGTGATAAAATCTGGAACTTCCAAGTTTGCGAGTCATCAATGTGAGCCAAAAAGTAAGCCTAAATGCTTACCGATCTATTGCTATAGGCACAATCATATGCATGTTTAGTGTCAGGCATGGAAGTCATTCTGTTTGTATGTTGATATTCTAGTGTTCCTCTTATCCCTTCAGCTATTGGAGGAATCCTGATAGTATCAGCAATATACAACAGCTCCAACAGATGGAAGGTTTAATAAGGGAGTCCCTAAACCAGACACGTCTACACAAGGTATGTTATGCGCGTTTTAGTTGCATATATCAAAATGATTGTTCTTGTCCGTGACTTCATCCCTCTAGGCTAAAGATATGTTTATTTATCTTTTGACTTGATAATGATATTAAAACCCATTGGCTGCATCATTCTGGCATCGGTTTGGTCTGATGTAGCAGTGTTTTCTGGGACATTCTACCCTATGTTCTATTGCGTTTATTGAGGACAGGGGGATGGGCTTTTCCATGTTACCTATTCTTCCCCAGATTTGATGTTATTTGTTTAAAGAAATTGCTGCTGGTACTTAAATCAGGTTCTGAAATTTGGCAGGAAAATTTAAGGAGACACCAACTTCTCTCACAGGAATTCACGGGCCAGGTAAGAGCAAAAGCTTTCCTACCCCTTCTTACAAGCATGCTTATGTTTTGTATATATTGATAGAGTCAACATGTTTCCATTTACCACAGTATCCGGGTGGTGAGATGTCCTTACCTTTGTTAATGGACGAAATGCAAGGCATTCAACCCCTGTTATGGCTTCCCAACTATGGGACTCAACAGATTACTTTGCCAAATGAGCCTAACTTTCTGCAACCAGGGTGAGCCTACAATGGATGAGATTAGTTTACGAATATCTGCTTTTTATAATCAATATATGTAATGTGTGAAATAGTTTTCTGTAGACAAAATTTGAAAAATGCTGTATGATATGTCTGTTTATGTGGGGGGTGATCATGTAGCCTTGAATTGAATTTATACTGGGGAATGTGTGCAGTGATGTTGAATGCTCATTTCCAAGCTATCCCAGTTACTACAACCCTGGGAAGCAAATTGAAGCTGGAGTATCTGGTCAAGTTGATAGCATGCCACAGGGTGATGGGGGTTTAAATGAATTAAGTGGAACTTCTTGCTCAACACTGCAACTTGGTGAGCAATATCAATACCCCCCTACATGTGATGGTTCCAGCTTCCAAGATGAAAAGAGACTGAACCTTGAGATGGAGATGAACTTGCATGGAAATTATGTGGACAACCAACTAAATGGGAAGTTGGACCTCTCAAGATCTCTATATGATGATGAGCAGCATCCTTGGGGTTCTATACCAGGGCCTTGTAGCATTCCAATGTACCAAAGCAGCAATGCCTACCACCACCATGTAGGTTCTCTACTAACTGCTCCTTCTAAAACATAGTGTACTCCATATTTGTATCCACATTTGTTGTTCAAAAACTTCATAATTGACGATCTTTGTTTAATCAATACAGAATGATATTATTGCTATATATACAGAATGGTCAGTACTGTTAGGATGTTGATATGAGGAGTTATCATGTTGTTTCAATTCATTGATGATTTCATGGCCTCTTGCAGCAACCAAATTGATTCCTACCAAAGTTCAGCAGTGATTGAAGGGGTAACAGATTGAAGAGTTCCTCTTGATTGATGTGATCAGCATTTTTGTTGGGATAGATTCCTTCTCCCAAATGCCAGACTCAATTATTTGATCTATAATGAGATGAGAATGATCCTCTGCTCCTCGTTTTTCCGTTAACCAATATACTCAACTTGTAAATACAAGATATACGAGATCAGAGGTTGGTTTTTTAGATTAGATTTTCTTTTTTTCCTTTTTCCCCTCGTGGAAGAGCTGTAAAATATTTGGGGTTTTCTGGTTTCCTTAGCTGTACATTGAGCTATTGTAAAACATGGAAGCAAATTTCATATTTTCTTTTATATCAAGTTTGGAGAAAATTAAAGATAAGTCTTTCTTGCTTCTTCCGTACACTCGTAGTGTTTCCATGTGTACATTCACACAGATCACGTATTCTTGCACAGATTTTACAGCACAGATTTTACAAGTAATGAACTCGTTCATTATTTCATCTTTTCAATTATGCTGTACCCTCCATTAGAGGTAAGCTGGCGATGTTAAACCTGAGAGCCTTATCCTTTTATTTGCTTCAGTTGGTTGGGCTGAAGATCTTTGCTTCGTGCAGGGATAGAAAAATGATTGAAACTTAGAATGATTGGAGATGGCATGGACTGGATGACAAAGGATATTAAAATAACAACAAAATTGAAGAGATGAAATAATGAACAAGTTCACATATGAAAACCAATGGGCTGAGGATAGGGGGATTCTTGGAATTGGCAAACCATAGTTCACACTTTATGATAAAATAATGTACATTAAAGAAAACCAATGGGCTGCATTTACATAACATCTTTTCTTACATCAAAATATCCCCCCCACAAAATAATAATAACATTTGGGATGAATGATTTTAAGATATGTGGGGCTGGAGACTTCAACAAAGATAGAAAATTCGTGGACATTTCTATGTGCCATGTGATACTGTTAAGAAACAAGAAGGGACAAAATAGTGGTTTCATCAGAGAAATGACAAGTATGTGAAAACTCAAAACTGTGATGTCTTGGCAAAAAGAAAGAAAGAATACTTATCCAAATATTTCAAAGATGCTGGAAACGTGAAATTATTGGGAGTCAGTAATCCCGATATTCCCGTTCTATCCTTATAGACTACACCTAATTATCAAAACAGTGATCCAACTTGCATGACCAATCAATCACTAATTATCCTCTGCATAAACTAGAATTTTTTTTAGAAAAACCCACCTCCCAAATCCGGAATCTTACTCTCTCTCTCAATCCTCCTCCCGTTTCTGTTCAAAATCGTTAATCTTTTGGATCAAATGGATAAAGTTCAATCCGCATCAGACTGACCCACTTGCCCCTTTTCCTTCCTTTATATGTCTACCTCTTCTGCCTGCTTCTCCTTCTCCCTTCTCCCAACTTTTATTCAGGAATAAGAAACCTCCACGTCTTCCTTCTCCTTATTTTCTCTGTTTCATCGCTTGTTTTTGGTCTTTTCTTGCATTTTTGGTTCAAACTTGAAAGATCTCAGGTGGGTTTCTTTCGCTGGTTTTGAGGGGCTTCTTCCTGGTTTTCGTTTTCTTGTTGCGTACTCGATTCTGCTTAAACAGAGATTTAAATTGGTGCCATTCTTTTGTGGGGCTCTTCTATTTTATGCTGACAATCTCTGGACGGCCGTTTGATTTCTCCCGCGCCATGGCTTGTTCGTTGAAGACTGGTCTCTCTGTTTCAGGGCTGAAGGATCGTTCGTGTTACTCTAATTCATCTGGGGTTTCTGGGTTTTCTACTTCTGTTTGTGCTTCCAGTTTAAAAGTGTCAAAGCAGCCGGGGTTTCCTGTTTTGAGCGTCGATTTCTTGGGGAATGCTGTAGTGATTTCGGATCGAAATGGTATTAGAAACTCGAACGCTGAATCCCCAAATAGACTGACCGTTTATGTAAGCCTTTTTTTCTTTTCTTTCTCTTTTCTGAATATTCCCAGCTTGATAGTTACTGTTTCTTCTGTAATGTTCTGGCTCTGAAGTTGATTTCTGAATCGACTCGTTGTTTTAGGCACAGGCATCGATTTGTGTAAGCCGAGCTCGGAGATGGTGGGAAAAAACCCTGAAACCTAACATGGTTGAGATCCACTCTGCACAAGCCCTTGTGGATGTATTGCTTGATGCTGGCGATAGATTAGCCATTATTGACTTCTATTCCCCTGGCTGTGGAGGTTGCAAAGCCCTTCATCCCAAGGTATTATCTTGTTGCTGCTTGGAATTTGGCCGCCTCAAATTGTAGAAATTTTAGAAATTTGTAATATATTTAGCTACCAATTTTGAACTGGGATTTTGGGATGTTGCTGATTGAATCCATTTGTAATACCAGATCTGTCAACTGGCTGAATTGAACCCTGATGCAATTTTTCTGAAAGTTAACTTTGAGGAGCTCAAAACCATGTGCCAAGCTCTCCATATTCGTGTTCTTCCTTTCTTTAGATTCTATAGAGGTGGAGAAGGTCGTGTCTGTAGCTTCAGCTGTACAAATGCAACTGTAAGAAAACTGTCCAGATTTTCAAACTTCCGATGATAATGATAGAAACAAAGAGAGAGGCTTACATCCTTTTTATTGATCTGCAGATTAAGAAATTCAAGGATGCATTGGCTAAACACGGAAGCGACCGGAGTAGCATCCTTCCAGCCAAAGGATTAGACGAATCGGAGCTCGAACGGTTAGCAATGGCAGGTGAATTATCATCATCAAATCTGAAGGAAAGAACATTGGAGGATGTAGTTATGAAAGAAATGGATTGTTATGGTTCTTGGGGAACATCAGGCAATAAAATGGAAGTCATGGAAGAGAACAACCTGATTCTTAAGGTGTGAAGGAAGCTATAATGGGAGTAATCCAAGCCAGATTGAAAGATCATACATGCTTTTGCATTTGTTTAGTTGATATTTTCTTTCTTTGGGGGGGGGGGGGGGGGGGNGGGGGGGGGGGATTCTTGTACATAGTGAGGATTTGGGTTTTTCCTCCCCATAAGCAAGGCCTCTGTTTTTTGCTAGTGCGTGCCTTGCCCATTCCCCTGCTTTTGCCAAGCTGTGAAGAACTGTAATTGCCCGTCTCTTTCAGTTTTCTAATACCACAGATGAAGCTTTTTATTACGATTATTCAGTTCTTATTCTTTTAAGACACTCTTGAGTGGTCTAAAAGGTTAGTTTTTCGGGTGCAATGCAATTATTCTGTCTCTTTCATATATTCGATATCAATATCAAAGTTACTCGAAGTCGAATGTCTCTTTTACGCACCTAATTCATTAAGCTTCAATCAAAGCTACTCGAAATCGTACTTGATGGTTGCAAAATCTTGCTAATAAGTTAGGGAAATGAAACTATACAAAAAAAAAAAAAAAAAAAAAAAAAAAAAAAAAAAAAAAAAACAAAAGAAAAAGAAAAAAAAAGTCAAAACTAATATACATCATTATATGGTAATGGTAAATCCAAATAGATTACCACGCACGTACTCCACGTGTCACGTGGGTTCCGGCTATACCCCCAGATTCTGGAACTGACGTGGATTAACAAATTTCCAACTCATCATGGCCCCACATTTAAGCATACGATTCCATTATGTCGGTTATGTTCGATTATATAATTAGTTCAAATAAAATATTTACATAATTGATTAATTTGTAAAATGGGATAGATTAGCTGTGACGTGGCATACAAGTGGTCCACAGCGAACATCACATTTACTTGCACAAAAAGTTTTAAAGAATAGTTGAGAAATAAAAACTTGAAAAATGTGGTGAATTGAGAAATAAAAGAAAGAAATAGATATGAGCGACCAAAATGTAGAGCAATAGTTTGAAGAACAGCTATGAATTGAGATGGTCAATGGAATTTGGGAAAGGAAGGATCCAATCCAATCCAAATCCAAATCGGAGCTCACCTTTTCACACCGGCGCATCTTAGCAATCCACGCGACGTTGAACAGTGGAAGCCGTCCTGAAATTTCAATTCCCAATTCCAACGCGGCGCCAAACAAGTCCAAATCTTCCAAATTTGACGCCAAACCTATGCACCATCCCACACTTGGATTCAATATATTTCGGTGTGCCCTCCCGCTCTCCTTTTTCGCAATCCCATATCCTCATCCTTCCTTTTATACCCGATTGCCTCTCCACTTGTTCCTCGCACCACTTCCATTTTCACTATTTCTTTCTGTATTTCTCCTTACATTCAATGGGTAGGCGCGGATTGTTCGACCTGGAGAGGCATTTTGCGTTCTATGGGGCTTATCATAGCAACCCAACAAATATATTTATCCATATTCTCTTCGTCTGGCCAATATTCTTCACTGCTCTCATGCTCTTCTACTACACCCCTTCCTTCTATTCTTTTCCCAAATGCCCTTGCGGCTTCAATACTGGCCTCGTTGTGAATTTTGGTTCTTTGTTTGCTTTGGTGTATGCCGTTTTCTACGTACTTTTTGATAAGAGAGCTGGATCTCTGGCTGCTTTTATGTGTTTTCTCTGCTGGGTTGGAGCAAGCGTTTTGGCTTTTAAACTTGGATGGACGCTTACTTGGAAGGTAGACGCTAAACCCCCCCTTTTTTTCCCTTCCTCTTTTGATCCTTTTTTGTTTGTTTTATTCTTTGTCGGGTAGGAATCACAATTTAATACTTCACAGATCTTATAATAACCCTATTTAGGTTGTCTGGTTTCTGCTCCAATTCAATTATTCGAACCATTTATGAATCTCAGTTCCCTGTAGTTCTATTCAATTTCTTATGGGGCCGGAACTCATAGTTTTGGTCTGATGTATGAAGGGCTGGCCATGGTGTTGACATAGCTTCTATTGAATTTATGGTTGTACTAGACTACAATTTATTTCTCTTGGTACTGTAGGACAGGTTTCATTTTCGTAGAGGAGAAAGCTTAGTGTGGCATGAAAAAAATAAAATTAGAAAGAAGAAAGATATTTGTTCGAGCTTCTTCCAACTTTATGGTGGTTGTGGGAATTTACTGCTCCTATTTATCCTTCTTTTTTCAGTTTATAAAGATTGTGCTGCCAAATTCATTTGGTCTCGAACCATGAATATCTCAGCTCTTCGTTTAGGCATGTTTGAGAGTAGGTTTGATATGGTTCACTTTGAAAACCCTCCCAAGACATGCTTTTAACCATTTAAGATAAATTTTGATGGTATGAAAATTTGCATTTAAAAGTGGAAAACCAAATATTAAATTGATTTCGAATCATCAACAACATGTTTTACAATGGTTTTAAACATGATAGAAGTGATTTTAACCTTTCAAAATCGCTTATCAAACTCCATGTAACTTCTATCTTTATCATCAACACATTTTCTTGCTATTCTGTTTATATGATGGTGGTTTCTGGTTTTGAAGTTAAAGCAAAGCTAGTTAGGCCAGGTTTAATAACACTTTAATTTGGCAGATGTCTACAAGATTTTCTTAGAAGTTAGAATACTGGTCGACGTTGCTTTCCTTGGATCTGAGTCATCCTTTTGTCGTCCTCATCACATCTCCTTTTCCCTTCCATACAATTTTTTGAGAGGCTTGACAGCATGTTAATGTAATTGTAGTCGGCTAAACTTGATGGACATCAGTGTTGAGGACATTTTTATCCTCTACCTCAACTACTTTTTGTAAGAACTATCTCAAAGGCTTGTGACACATATTTGGGATGAGAAAGCTTGCAGCTTTTGAATTTTGGATCAGTTTGGAGATTCCTTTTGGATAATGTAATTTAAGGCCACCTTTTGAAAAAAAGTCACCACCACTACATTATATGATTCACCGTTTCCTTTTCTTCTTACGACATCATAGTAACTTTGACAGCCACAACCATTTATGTGTTTGTTCGAGTACTCCTTGGCATATTTGGACCCCGTCATTCCATGTCCATAAAGTTTTGAGTACTACTTTGCAAATTATAACTTGTAGCAAACCTAAGGAATCTACAGAACATGATCAAGTTATTGCAGAATCTATAGTCTTGAGCATAAAGCTAAAGTTGGTTATTTTGTAATTTGATATACCAGGTGGTGTTGGCTGCACAGTTGTTCTGCTGGACAAGTCAGTTTATTGGCCATGGGGTGTTCGAGGTAACTAGTTAGTTAAACATCTTAAACATGAACTTGTTTTGCAACCTTAATTCCTGATGGGTTTTGGTTTGATTTTGTAGAAACGGGCACCTGCTCTCATTGACAACCTTGCCCAAGCTTTTCTAATGGCTCCATTCTTCGTTTTGTTGGAGGTTACCTTTGCTGAAACCCCTCCTTGTGCCCTTCTTGGATCAACAATGAAACATTTGAAAATGTAACTAATTTGTTAACTATTTGCAGATTCTTCAAGCTTCGTTCAAATATGAACCATACAATGGATTTCACGCAAGCGTGAAGGCGAAGATGGAAGCCGAGAAGAAAGCTTGGGAAGGAAAGAAAGAAAAGAAAAGCTGTTAGCTTGAATGGAATCCTTTTTTTAGATGTATAAATACGTATATCAGGGTGAATGGAATCCTTTTTTTAGATGTATAAATACGTATATCAAGGTGTGTGGTTTTGATTTGGTTTGTGTGGGAATTGTGTAATTGAGAGCTTGAGATGTACTTAAAAAGAATTGTTGAAGTAATGTTTGTATTTGAATAAGATTAGAAAGCTCCTCATCTCACAACCCAAATGTGGGGATTGGTTTTACATTCTTCTGTTTACATCAGAAAAAGGATGCCGTATAAGTATGGGGAATATTTTCTTTTTGTGCATTCACACCATTATTTTAGTTGATGGATATTTTTGCTTATAAGCTCGTTGTTTTACATTATTATTTAATATCTCTTTTATAACCATTTTATCCTTAAAAAGCAGGATGCTTGGTCAATGCTTCAGTTTGTTTTCTTAATGTTGAGTGTTCATTTAAACAATGTAATATTATAACTATATCATTAATCACCATAGTTAGCTGTTAGTTTAGGGTATTTAACACTACAAGTCACCAAATGGTTTGGCAGCATGCCACCGTTTGCGTTGAGTGAAATAGGAAAGTCGGGCGTGAGTATTCTCTTGTGGAGCTTTACTTCCCTTCACTTCATGTTTCTCATTCTCCTCCCTTTCCTTCAACAGTCTCAACTTCTCCACCTTTCTTCTTTCTCCTTTGTTTTTTTCTTTTTCTTTTCTACTTCCATTCATTTCTGTCTTCTTGCTTCTCTCTCTCTCTCTCTCTCTGTAATCTTTCTCTGTTTTTGTTTTCTACTGCCAGAACCTCTGAACCCACCACACAACTTCAATCTACTTGGAGCTGAAGGACCCATCATTTTCTTTCCCACTTAAAACCTCTGTAATCACTCTTCCATTGGGCTATAAGTTTCGTCCCAAAGATTTTCCAGACAAAATATGGAAGAAAACATGACAGCCTCTGTTCATGACGAATCCCAGATTGTTTTGCCCCCTGGATTTCGGTTTCATCCAACTGATGAAGAGCTTATTTCTCAGTACCTCTGTAAGAAAGTGATGGACGCCAATTTCTCTTGCAAACCCATTGGAGAGGTCGATCTCAACAAGTCTGAGCCTTGGGATTTGCCCTGTAAGATCTCAACTTTTTCATACCCTTTTTCGTTCTTTCTTTGAAATTTACTCATTTTGTTGGCTTTTAATGTTTGGGGTACCTCAGGGAAAGCTAAAATGGGGGAAGGGGAATGGTACTTTTTCTGTTTGAGGGATAGAAAGTATCCCACTGGATTGAGAACAAACAGAGCCACTGAATCAGGGTATTGGAAAGCCACTGGGAAAGATAAAGAGATTTACAGAGGAAAAACGCTTGTGGGTATGAAGAAAACTCTTGTTTTCTATGGGGGAAGAGCCCCAAAAGGTGAGAAATCCAATTGGGTTATGCATGAATTCAGGTTAGAAGGGAAACCCTCTGCCATTAACCTCTCAAGCACTGCAAAGGTACAACCTTCTTTTACAACTTTACCCCCTCTGAATCTCTTGAAATTACAGAGCTGAGCTATCTGTTTTTCTTTTTGCAGAATGAATGGGTGATTTCGAGGGTGTTTCAGAAGAGTTGCGGTGGGAAAAAAGTTCACCTTTCTGGGTTAGTTAAATTGGGTTCTTCTTCCTCTGCTGTGCCGCCATTGAAGGACTCTTCTTCGTCATCAATCAAGATCAATGAATTAGCTCACGTGCCCTGCTTCTCCAACACCATGGATTCTTCTCAAAGAACCCTACCCAAAATAACTGATTGTTCTTTCAATTTCTCTTGCTTTTTGCCCACCATTTTTCCGAGAAACACGCAGCCCACTTCGTTATACAACCCCCAAGCCATCTCTCTCCCTTTAAATTTGCAGTTTCCAGACATGGCTGGAACATTCAAGCCAGAGGGGGAAAGAATCAGTGTCTCACAAGAAACAGGGCTAACTACTGATATGAACAATGAAATCTCTTCTGTTGTTTCTAATCTTGAAATGGGTCGATTGGCATTTGAAAATCAGGACAACCTCTCTGCTTCCCCCGTGCCAATGAACCCCCACATCGCGTGGAATTACTGATAAAATTAAACAAGGTCTGTTTTTAATTGACGCATTATGCGTAAATGACTATTTTGATGTTAGTTTTGGTGTTACGAAAGTGAGGTTGGTCCGTACTTCAATGGCTTCTGTAGCCATTGAAGATGTTATGTTGAGACTTGTAGGTTGAGGTTGAATATCAATATCACAAGGATAATGGATCCCCATCTCAATCTTCTTTCCAAGTATGTGTACGTTTATGTGACAATGGAATGATTACGATTGAGATTGTGTTTCATTAGGCTCGGTTCACATATTAGATATTTGGATCATGTGAGAACGAGACAAGTTTGAGTTGTAGTTATGATTACTTTTAAAAGTTCAAATAATGTGTAATTATACCGGAACTTGTCTCGGTATAATGCTCTATCGATAAATAAGTTGAACAAAGCAACGAATGCCCGATTTCTTTAGCGTATATATATAAATATTTTGTATCTATACATATTATAGTGATTACTTGCCCAATCCATTTTCTCACAAATTTCAATCCATATCCATTTATTCTTAAAGTGGATGATTTTATTGAGAGTTGTAAAGCACTCACAAGTATATATCTTAGTGGTACCTTTTAACTTTTTCAACAATCTAATCGTATAGAAAGTATGTTAGGTTAAATGCACAAACTTGAATCAAAATATACCCTCGTCATGCACCACATCACACTATGTTCATTAACATCGGGAAATCTAACATATTTCATCTTTCTAATAATGGAATGGGAACTTGATGAGTACAACAGTTTCTCAAAACAAAAGCAGCAAAATCAATCCTGTTGATCAACCAACTTAAGCCCCCAGGCCATGTCCTCGCAATGCCTCACATGAGGAACAAGTTTGCCAGTGTCCACTCCCTTCTTAGCCTTGCAGTCATAGAAAGGAGGTGCATGGAAACAGGGCTCCATGGACATGGCTCGTCGGCAGGGTGGATTCGGTGCAGTACGATTCTCGGGATTGTACAATATCCATGGTTTCAGACCGCCAAGACCTTGAGCCACATATCCAAAGGTCGACCATGAACTAGTGACCAGTACATTAGTTGTACTTAACAAATACATCCAATGCCTTCTGGTTATGTATACTCTATTGAACACAACGCTATGTGGGAAACACTCGCATTCTTTATTAAGACCAATCGAGAAGAGAATACAAGACACTGTGTAAAATACTTTTTGGATTTCTTGGATGAATAACCTAGGTAGGGTGAAGGTGTATTTATACTAGAGCCTACGCAATATAAACCTAACAAATCTAAATTTAAATCTAACAAATCTTAATTTTTTTCCTAAAATATATAGATCTCTTCTCGTAAAAATCAGATATCTTTCCTAAAATCTCTACTAAAATAAATATAAAATCCCTTCTTGCACAATTATTGGGCTAGTGATGATATTTCAACACTCCCCAAGCACTAGTCCTCATTCGCTGCACCATGTTGAGCTGGCAGCAAAAACTCTCATGTTTGCCAATATTCAGCCCTTTTGTAAACAAGTCTGACACTTGGTCATCTGTCTTGATCTGCTGCATCTCGATTTCTTCCTTTAGGACCTTTCCTCTAATGAAATGGTAGTGCACCTCCACATGCTTTGTTATAACATAAAACACCAAATTTTCTGATAGGCGAATCGCAAATTGATTGTTGCAATGAAGTGGTATTGGATACTCAATTTTCTGGTGTCAATCTTCCATCAAAAGTTTTAACCATGTATTTTCCTGAGCTGCTCCAACTGCTGCTTTGTAGTTTGCTTCTTTAGTTGACAATGATATTGTTGGTTGTCTTTTGTTACACCAAAAAATTATTCTCGAATCGAGCTTGAATGCATACCTAGTGATTGATCTTCGGGTATCGTGGTCTCCTGTATAGTCGACATCACTATATCCAGCTAGCTTTCAGTCTTCGCTTCTTTTGTATAAACGATCGTAATTGATTGTACCTTTGACATATCTCAAGGTCCGTCGAGCCACATCCAAATGAAGCTTCTTCAGATTTTGCATATATTGATCAATGACTTCAACTTCATTTTCAAATTTCTTCGGTTGGTCCATGCAGAGCTCTCTGTTTAACTCTCCATGCAAGAAAGCATTATTCATATCCATCTGCCATAATTTTCAATCTTTATTTACGATAAGTACTGGAGGAACTTATACGATAATGATCTTTGCCACTGGACTAAACGTTTCATCATAGTCTAGTCCATATTCTTAAGAGAACCCTGAATCTATAGTCTGAGCTTTGTATCTCACAACTGATCCATCCGGGGTACACATTATTTCGTAAGCCCACTTGTAAGATATGAGTTTGGTATCTCTTGGTCTTGGCACTAATTCCCAAGTTTGATTTTGTTCCAGGGCTATAGTTTCTTCCTCCATCGCTTTCTGCTAAGCTGAGTTTTGTGATGCTTCTTCATATGTCTCCGGCTCATTAACTTCGTCTTCTACTGTGTTGGCATACTCTGGATTTTCCTTTAGGATTATTTCTGAATGTCTGAGTTGTTGAGATGTCATTTCATTTTCACTAGACTCGCTTGGTTGAATCACTTCTTGATTTCTTTACTTAACTCAAGGCCCGATAATTCTTCCTTCTCTGAGGGCCACCTCTCTTCCATTGCACTGCTTTGATCGTCAATCATGTGGTTTAAGCATCTTGAATCAATGTTCCAGTCATCCTCGTAATCGATATGCTCTTCCATCATTGCCATGAGTGCTAGCTCGTCTTCTACTATTGGACATAGTATCTCTACATCCCATTCATCCTCTATCTTCTTTTTGGATATTGCCACATTGCTTTCAACCACTTTTTCCTGGACCAACAATCTCTAGACATGTGACCCTTTTGCACCATTTTTTCCGCAATTATAGCAAATACCTTCAAATCCCTTTCCTTGGAAACTCTTGTTGTCGTTCTTCTGAGATTTCTCGGGTTGTGAAGTTCCTTTGTGACTTCTTCTTTTGTCACCATTGTATCCACGCTTGGTAGACGACCTATTATTGCTCCGACTTTCACTTGTGTAGAGTGCTTCTTCTTCACCCTTCAATGTGATGCCTCCCATTTGTTTAGCCACGACTTCTTGGCTGGCTAATATATTTTCGAGCTCTACAAGTGATGGTTGAGTAGGCCATCCTTGTACAGCAGTAATGAAGCTTCGATATTCCGGTCGCAATCCGTGGATTATAATCCTCTTCATTCGAGATTCTACAATGGCGGACTTCGGGTCTAGTTCAGTAATCTCCCGACAAATCGA